GTGTGTGTGTGTGTGTGTGTGTGTGTGTGTGTGGGTGTGTAGTGTATGCTGTTGTGTACTATATTATATATTATATATATATATATACATATATATACATATATATATATATATAATATATATATAACATATATATACATATATATTATATATATATATATATATATATATATATATATATATATATATATATGTATGTATATGTATATATGTATAAGTTATTATATTATATATATATATATTATATATATATATATATATATTATATATATAATCAATATATATATAATATTTATAAATAGATAATATGATGGATTACAAAAAAAACACACATGTTATATTCTCAATCGAATTAAGATATGATTGCTTCTGCAGAGGTTCTATCTACGTGTATTTCTCTCTCGTGTCTCTCACGCCTTCTCCCTCCTAAGCATCGCCTGCAACATGACGCCACCAAGGACAACCTCGCGTTGGATTTGACGAAACCAAGGACGACCCCTCAAGGGAGTTTCTGACACTCGAGGAATAATTGTCCTGTCCAAACTCCCCTTAATGTCGACCTTGGGAGAGCCTTGTCTTCAAGAGGGAAGGGTGACCTTACGCCCCCCTCCCCCCCCTTGGTGGTCACTCCGGATTACGAATTAGATTTGAGGGAAGAGAGGGGAGCGGTGGTGGGGGCGGGGTGGGGTGGGTTGAGGAGGCGGGAAAGGGGGAAGGGAATGAAAAAAGAAAAGATGGGAGAAGAGAGAGGAAAGGGGGAGGGGAAGGGAAGAAGAAAGGAGGGAAAGGAGAGGAAGGAGGGGAAGGGAGGAGGGGGAGGAGAGAGGAGGGAAAGGGAGGAGGGGGAGGAGAGAGGAGGGAAAGGGAGCCGTAGGAGAAAGGAGAGGAAGGAAGGAGGCGGAGGAGCAAGGAGAGGAAAGAAAGGTTGGGGGAGTCTGAGAAAAGGTGAGGAAGTGAAGATGGAGAAGGGAATAGGAGAGGGGAGGAGGGGAAAGCAAAGGAAGAGGAGAGGAAAGTAAAAGGAAGGGAAAGAAAGATGACACGAATGGGGAGCAAGGAGAAGGAAAGAAGAAGAGAGGGAGAAAAATCACGAGAAAAATACAGGATGGGCAGGTGGGAAGAGAGGAAGAGGATGCGGAATAGATTGGAAATGGCGGAGAAAATTAGGAATAGGGAGAGAATGTACGATAAATATAAGAACATGTAACGATATGAAATTAAAATGAGATGGAAGAAGAAATAAATAAAAATAAAAGAGAATTAAAAACATACATAAATTCGACTTTGAAAAATATTGGCTGGAAAATCTAAAAAAAAAAAAAAAAAGATTAGAAATAATAGATTGTTAAAATAAAGTATAAAAAAATAAAGATAGATAGATAGATAGTGAGAGAGAGTCGAAGAATACCAGAAAATGTTGTAAAACAAAAGCAAAACACAAAAACTAACAAGCCCCTCCCCCAAAAAAAAAAGAAAAGAAAAGAGATACCAAGAAGAAAAAATAATACAAATAAACAGACGAACACAAATCAGAAATAGAACTACTCGTAACAGTCGACAATATGAATTGGACTAGGCCATATTGCGTGTCGAGATGGTGTTTACTGTGTTAGGTTGGATGATGAGGAGTAACGCGCAGAGCGATGAGGTGTGCCGGTGCCGCGTTGCTGCTGATGATGCTCGCAGTGTGTGCGTGAGAGGGGAGTGATTGAGCGCACGGTTGGAGCGAGCGGCGCAGTCAGCGAGAGGTCGGGTTAGCTTGCGGAAGGAGGAGTAGATAGTGTAGTTAAAGGAGGAGAGTCTAGGTGCTGAGCTGCGAGGCATTAAGGAGGAGTATGTGTTGCCTCAGTAGTAGAGAATGAAATGACGGGGGAGTATTAGCTTTGTCGCGCGGGATGGACGCATGGATGCATGTGAGAGATGTGTGCGCGTGTGCACGCGCAGCACGGCGGCTGAGATATACTGGCTTATGATGATAGTCGCTACTAGTAGTCTGATAATGCGGAGTAGTCAGGCTCGCGCTACGCGTGGGCAACGGAGGGTGCTGGATAGAGAGTGGATTACGCTTCGCAGCGGCCGGTACGCACGCAGTGAAGATCATGGATTAAGATAGATGAGAGGTGAGGGAAGGGAGGGGGGGTGAGACAGTGGGAGAGAGGAGGGGTAGAAAGGAGAGACGAGAGGAGAAGAGAGGAGAGAGAGAAGAGAGGAGAGAGAGAGAGAGAGAGAGAGAGAGGAAGAGAGAGAGAGAGAGAGAGAGAATTTGGTGTGTGTGTGTGTGTTGTGTGTGTGTGTTGTGTGTTGTGTGTGTGTGTGTGTGTGGTGGTGTGTGTTTGTAGTGCTGGTGTGTGTGTGTGAAGGAGGGAGGGAGGGAGAGAGAGAGGAGAGAGAGAGAGAGAGAGGAGAGAGAGAGAGAGAGAGATGAGAGAGAAGTGAGATGAGAGAGAGGGGGGGGCGTGCGTAGGTATATAGCACTGGATGGTATGGAGGAGGGAGAACAGAGAGAGGAGAGGGGGAGAGAGAGAGAGAGGAGCGAGAGAGAGAGAGAGAGAGACGCAGAGAGAGAGAGAGAGAGAGAGAGAAGAAGCACGTTACGTAATGGATGGATGGAGTTAATGACTATATTATCGTGGAACCATGAATGCAGGTATTATAGACTCGAGATGTAAGATATACGAAGCCTGTGATGAAGAGAAGAAGGTGAGAGGGGAAGAGAGGGGGGGGCAGAGGGAGGGGAGAGAGAGAGGGGGGGAGAGAGAGAGGGAGGGGCAGAGAGAAGAGGGGGGCAGAAGAGAGATAGAG